TTCGGTTGACAGCTTTAACATGGAAAAGCTTAAGTTAAAACTGGTCTCCTTTGGTGGATGATAACCTATCTCTCTATTTGCTCTCAAAGAATGAAACAGAGCATAAGGGATGAAATCAAACATTTACAGGAATTAAAAACAAACACAAATGTATCTGGGGACAATGGGGGGAACATCTCAGATCCAATCAGGGACACCTGGGCAGACCTCAGGTAGGGCTCTTGCTGGTTGAAAGGCCTAGTGGGTTTATAAACAGATCACTTGGAGAGGCAGACCTGGCTCTGGAATGCTAAGTTCTGGTCCATTTGTCAGGTAAATCTCTCTGTGCTGTCAAATAGGTGAGTTGGGGCAGAATGGGGTTGAGAGGAGGAGAGATGGAGGGGACTGAAAGACCCCTCATCCAGCCAGGAAGGGTCCCATAGCCATCCAGCTAGGTGCAACCTCTGTCTTCATCCACCTTTGTGTCTTGGCCTCATGTGCCTCTTTTTTGAATTGCAGATTAATTTATCTGTGATTTGCCACTGAGTGCTGCTGAGTGAGAAACACAATTTGTAGGTTCTTTGTGTGTGCCTAGGTATAAAAGAAAGAAGTAATGTGGGCCTTGAGGCCTGGACATGCAGCCAAAGGTGTCAACATGAACAGTATAGGGAGGAAACAGTCTGGCTGGAGAGTATCAGCTACTTCTCCTGGGGAAGGCCACTGGGATTTTTAGTTCAAATCAATACTGTGGTCATGAAGGTGACTGAGAGGGGAGAGGGTGAAGGTACCTAGTGACTCATCTTCCTGCTGGAGATGGGAATATTTTAACTCCTATAGCTGTGTGCCCGAGGCTGTGGCTGGCCCTCCACTGGCAAGGCTCTTTGCTCCCTGGTGGACCCTCCTGTCCGGGACCACAGCCATGACCCAGAATGGGAGAGGGGATCCCAGCCCAAAGTTCTGGGGTTTTGGCACAGACACTCAGACGTGCCCAGCTCACCCCATGCCTTCCAACTCTCTTAACCCCTCCATCGCCTTTCACTTTCATACATTTACACTTTTTCTTGCTTTCCTAATAATTTTGATTCTGAAGTATTTTAAACATACAGAAAATCACACATAATACTCAAAAATATCACTAGCTCTGTCAAATCTTATTAGTTTGCCATTTCATTTTAAGAAATAAAATCTCACAGGTGTTTGAGCCCCTTGATCTGTGAACACCTCCATCCATTTCTCCTCCAGAGGTCACCACTATCCGGGACTAGAAGTGTAAACCCCACATTGCATATTGAAATCATCTTTATATCTATGTGTATATCTACAATCACTAAATAGTACAATTTTGCATGACTTTAAACTTCATACACTGAATGCAACCCTTTTCAACTTGTCTTTTTCTTTAATGAAGGCATTTTGAGTTTTTATGTTTGTATATGTCTTGATACATATAGCTACAGTGGATGAAAAGGGGCCACATACTAAACCTGAAAAGCTCAGGGGAGACCTGCATGGTGGGCCTTACAAACCTAGAGGCCAAAGAGACCACACAGAATGGTCTGAATGTAAAAATTCCTAACTAAAAGTGACTCATGGTGGGTAGTCACCTCCTAGACCTGTTGCTTCCTTGACAAAGGTCCATCTTTAACTTTCAAATTGTCTGTTGTCTTTGTGCACCTAAGAGATAACATACCTTTGAAATGTCAGAGTAATCTTTTTTACCAGACCCCTTGCACAACCACCTGCACTTAGACAATGAGACCACATTGTTATCTTGTTGCCCACATCTCTTGTGCTGTAAGTGTTAATTATTAACTATCCTGTTCTCATCAATGTAAAACAAGTATGTGTCTCTCTGTTTTACTTTTTATCCAATCCCAGACATTTCTCTGCTTTGTTTTCTCCTACCCCGTTAATCTACCACCAATGAATTTCATGTAACCCCCCTCACCCCACCTTATGTCTCTTCCTTTGATTCTAATGTATAAAATAAGCTGCAAAATTGCCATTCTCCAGAGCATTGTCTCAATCCATTGAGATTTTGCTTCCCAGCAATTGTCATTAGTTTGGGTCAAATAAACTCTTGTAAGACTTTTTTAAGGCTGGACGTTGTTTCGTCAGCACTTTGGTTCAATAATTTTAATTGCCATGTAGTATTCTATACCTCAATTTATTCATTCTCCTATTGATGAACAATTAGGTGCTTATAATTTGGTTTTCTTAAAAATAGTGGTGCAGCATATATTCTTATAAAGGTCTCCTTCCACCCATGTGCAAGAGTTTTTCTACAGTGCATATCTAGGAGGTCTGTGTATCGTCAGTATCTACACAATATTGCAAATTGTTCTCCAGCATGGCTCTGTGAACAATACTCTTTCAGCAGCATATGGGGATTCCTGTTTTCCTATATCCTCGAATATTTGGCATTGTCTGACTTTTTAAGTTTTTTCCACTGGGATATTTTTAAAATGAGCTCTCCTGATCATTTCCTTTCCCAAGGCTTCTAGAAGTTCCATCCACAGCCTGTACCCTTTCACACTCAAAGGGGATGGATCAAGCATGGAGGACTTGACTGGCCTACATTCTTCTGACCTATAAGTAATGGGAGTGCATAGAGCAATTTGCAGGGATCCTTTCTCCATCTACACTTTCCCCTGGGAGAATCTCTCCCTGGGATAGCATTGTGGAATTCTAACACATAAGCCAGTGACTTCTGCATGTATAAATAGCTCCATCTTGAATGTCAAAAGCCACTTAACCAATGTAATTTATGGCCAATAAGCTGCTCAGTTAAAACTTAACCTGCCCAATGCCCAACTAGATTTTCTCCTCAATCCTAATCCTTCCCTATTTGATCTAATTGCTCAAGACAAAAACTTAGGCACTGTCCGTGATTTTTCTCTTCCCACCACCTCGCATTCAGTCTATCAACTTCTGTCAATTTCTGTATCAAACTATTCCTGAAATTCCTTACTTCTTTCTAATTCCACTGCTACCTTAACCTTGGTCTAAGCCATCAGCATCTAATGCCTGAACCACTGCAGTTGCCTCCTAACTGGTCTTGCTGCTTGTCATCTTGCCCTTATAAACCATCTTTAGCCAGCAGCCAAAGTGATCTTTTAAGAACATAAAACAAGTAAAATGTCATCGCCCTACTTAAAGCCCTCCAATGGTTCTTAGGGTAGAAAACTCAAATCCAAAGTTATGGCGATCTAGAAGGCCGAAGAGGTCTGGTCCCTGCCTGCCTCTCTGTCCACATGCCTCTGCAGTTTCTGGGACTTCCTCTGTGTGGAGGGCTTTTCCTTTGATCTTTTCATTCAGGGCTCTTTCACTTCCTCAAAGACCTGCCCTGACCATCCCACCCTACCTATAGTTCTTCCCTACAGCATCATTTTCATTCTGGAACTTCTCATTGCTCAGTGCTGTGATCTGTGCCCCACCAGAATATCTCCTCCAGAATTGTCAACCTTACTGTATACTTGTAGCGTCTAGAGCAGGGGCTCGCAAGCCACATGCAGCTCTTCGGGTACGTTCCATCTCAAGTTTGCCGACCCCTGGAAGAGTGAATCCTGTCCCTCACAACAATTTAAAAATTATTCGAGAGCCATAAATATATTTTTCACAATTACCATTATGTGAATAATATCCTTTAAAAATTTTATAAATGAGACTATGATAGTTTTATTTTCATTTTCAATTTTACTTCAGAGCCACATGTACGTACCCAAAGAGCTGCATGTGGCTCGCGAGCCGCAATTTGCTGACCCCTGGTGGCTCTTCTGTCTCAGAAGTTTGCCGACCCCTGGTCTAGAGTGAAGTGGGTGGCCATAAAGTCCTGTTGAATTAATTAATGAATAGATAGGGTCAACAATTTAGAACAGCTTGGACAGTCAAATGAAGTTTCTCCAGAGTCTGAGTGGGATAAAAGCTGCCTGAGGCAATACAACTCTTGTCTTTAGCTAGAACAGCAATTCTCAAATTTTTTAGTACCAGAATTATGGAGGACCCCAAAGAGCTTGTGTTCATGTGTTCAGATATTTATTGTATCAGAAAATACAAATTGACCAAGACACAATTATAGTAGGGGACCTAAATACATCATTGACAGCTATGGATAGATCATTAAAACAGAAAATAAGTAAGTCAATATAAGAAAATACATGAAGAAAAAGTTAAGGTATTTATTTATTTAAAACAATAATTTATTACATGTTGACATAAATAACATTTATATGAAAAGTAACTACATTTTCAAACTTTTATGAGCAGTGGCACACTTTGAAAACAGCTGCTCCTGCACATACAGTGCCTAGTTAGCACCAGGAAAGATTCTGTTGAATGAGTGGCTAGGTGGGCTCAAGAGTGTATACCAAACTTCAGGGTCAGATGTAGCCCCTTTTCAGCATTTGGGTAGAGGATAGAAGACCACACCAGCCTACTGCCAGACCAGGCCACAGTTCCCTCCTCCACTCCCCTCATGGTTCACCCACTTTCTCACTGACATTCCCAGCCCCATGCAGCTGTTTCCCCTAACAGTTTTCTTCTCAAAAAAAAAAAAAAAGGCAAAGAATAAGATGAGAAATAAATTTCATATAGTTGTAAGTTGATTTGCAAGCTCTATATGTCTTTAAAATATGCTTATTTCTGTAACCAGAATGATTGTATAAATTTTAATCCAGAGAATTCCTTTTGAGCTTCACTTTGACAACATGAATGTTGAGGCCTGATTCTACCAGGATTTGTTTAATCCTTTTTGTATTCATGTTGAGAACCCAAACTGGGTGTCATATTATTTTTCTTAAGGCAATACTGAAACCTAAGTTCTTCCTCTTTCTAAGAAGAAGTTGCTCCCTCCCTCTTTGTTTTTTTTCCTCTGAGTAGAGGAAATTCACAGAGTCAGGATTTGAAAAAAAAAAAAAAGAAATGATCATCTCTGTGCTCCTATTATAGTGGCTGGATCTCCCCAGGCTCTGGGCACGCCCCTTCCACTTCCTGACGTCACACTATTTTTTGTCTTTGAATAGCTCATTGACACAATCGTCTCGGAGATCGGAGAACTGAAACAGGAGATGGTGCAAACAGATGTCAGCTTGGAAAATGGCCTGGAACCCACTGAAGCCCACAGGTGACAGAGGCGATTAGGCGCCGGGCGCGAGATGGGAGCTAAGTGAACCCTATTAGCTGCGAGGACTGCCATTTCAGTGGCTCCTCAAGTTTGGGAACTGGGAATGTGTTGGCCACTCCAGTTGAAGCTCTCTGTAGGAGGAGGGAGTGACCTAGAAACCAGTTGTCTTCTTGCTTAATCACTTTGAAGGCACTTGAACTTTACACCCTCTCAATTCCTCCTGGCACCAGAACCCGGAAACCTAAAGTTCTATCTGCCATATCCACCTTCTCACAATGATGGAAACAATAACGCAGCAGGATCCTCCGTGTGCAAAATAGAACTCAGTGTAGCCTGTGTCAGTCTCCAGAAGGTTTAAAGGAAAGCACTAAGAGGATGGACTCATTTTGCGTTCTCAGGTCAGAAAACCCCCAGCACTTACCTTAGCTATTAACCTGCAATGCAGTCCAGTGTATTTGAAATTCAATGTGCTTGTAAATGTTTAAGAAAGGGGAGGCAATTTACTGTGCTGGTTAAACATAATATGTTTTGCTTGTATTGCACAGGATCAGAATAAATGGTCTTTATCTGGAGAATGGGGGTGTAGAGGTCAAGGTGGGGGTGGCAGGTTGGAGGAGATTGCCAAAACCTCATCCAGCTTTTGGATGGTGTTAGTCATTGCTCGCAAAGATAACAGAATATACTGACTACTAAACAACATGGACACTTGGTGCCTGGGAGGCCAGATTTATCATCTTGCCTCTTTTCCCAGGAAATGGGGTTGAGGCTGCCTGTGCAGGGTGAGGGTGAGATTCATGGAGTGGGGTTTGCTTGTAAGTCATGAGACAGGCAGGAGGAGTCCTGCGAGGGCAGGCGAACCAGTTGGTTTTGGTTGTCCAGGCAAATTTCAAACCGGCCAGACTTGTTTCTTGCCACAGACTGAGGGGAAAGCAGACAATTTTAAAGAGGCTCTTTGCAGCTGGAATTCAGTCAGTGCTTTAACTCCTATGTCTCTGGAGGAAATATATTCTCCCTTAGCCGTGGAAATTGTGTGTCTTCCATTTCCTTCTCTACAAAATGACAGAGGTAGACCAGATGGTCCCCAAGCTACTTGCACAGCACCAGGTGTTCTATGATTACCCTTGATCTCGATGTGATTGGTTAATTTTTTCCCTTAAACTAGACAAATGCACAATAATTTTTTTTTAAGATTTTTATTGGGGAATTGGGGTGATGGGAATAGCGCTGGGGAATTGGGGGAAGGGGAACAGACAAGTTGCTATCGTTTTGTTCTTCAGTCTAGTTGTGGAGGACGTTGCTCCACTGGCCCAAGTTGGCACCATCATTGCGCTCTTCCCGGGTGAGGCAGATCAGTCGCTGGCTTCCGGACGGCCACTCATGGCAGCTGCTGGCCGCTCATGCTGGCTGCTGGCTACACACGGTAGCCCATGGCAACCCAAGCCAGTTCTTAACCATTGTGCCACTCGGCTAGCCCGACAATAATATTTTATTAGAGACTTTTCACTTCACTTTCAGAGTAGTTCCAAACCCTGTGGGACTTTAGCCAGGGGATTTCTCTTTGCTCTTTGCATTACTGAGCTAAAAATAAGTTGGGAGTCCAGGTTGATGACAGAAGAGTAACAAAGAGAGCTTTAGTAGCTCTGATTTCACCCACATTCAGGAGATACAGCACTGTGAGGTGGACCCCAAACTGCAGAGGACAGACACAATCCCTGCCTGCATATAAGCCACAGGGGATGTTAGGTTTGCTTAAAGAAGTGGTAACATGAACAGACTGTTAAGGTCTTGATCTCTGACTGTAGTGGGTATTGTGGTGGGAGAGCTGGGCGTCATTTAATATTTAATGTCTCTTTTAGTCTTTTTCTTGTCAAATTTAAGAGTGACTCTAAGCACTCCACAATAATTTTTTTTTTCAGATCAATATCACTTATTCTTGAATACCATGTTGGCTAACACTGAATTTATGAAACTTCAAAGGCATTTTACTTGGCATTTTTTTTTAATAGGAAAGAAAGAGAAAAGGCAAGATTGTCTTTATTTAACAATGGTGTATATGGTGTTTACCACATGCCAGGCGCTGTTCTAAGTGTATTACAGCTGTCAACTTACTGAATCTCCTCATTGCCTTATGAGGTAAAGCTCCGGTATGACCCTCATTCTGCTGATGTGAGACCCATATGATATGGTATAAAGGCTGTGGCTTCTATGCTGGGGTCTTTCCCTGATTTTTAGAAGCATGGAACGGTTAGTTTGCTTTTAATTCCTCCATTTTGCCCAATGATGTCAGGAGGGCCAGATTACAGAGAAGTAGGGTAAGGAAGACTTTGCTTTGTTTCCACAATGAAGGCAGAGCAGAGCTGTGACCACAAGGAAACAGCAGGTCAGCCTGGCACAGAGCAGCCCAAGGGGCAGAGGAGGGGAGAGGAGAGCAGGCATGCGAGGAGCAGAGCTTCCTCCAGTGTAACCACTGTAGAGAGAAGCAGTCGGCCCCTCAGGACCTTGGGTGAGCATGTTCTGGTGGCTGCACAAAAGCCTCACAGTCGCCTTCCCTTCTGGCCTCATCCTTGGTGAGTGTGAGTTGTAATATGGCCTCACCCACCCCACTCACAGTAACCAGGAACTGTCTGGTGTCATCTAGAAGCAGAGGAGAGCATAAACAATACTTGTGCACCAATAATGGATACATCTAGAGTTTTGGTTGGTGACAAAGTTTCAGCTGCTGAGGAAACTACTGAGATTTGTTGCCTGCATCCAAAATATAAAAGGAGGACGTGAATTTTAAATCCAGGTTAGTGAAAGTGCAAATGTCATTTTCTCCATCCGATAGTTCTCGCTTCCCAGCCCACCTGACCTATCAGCATCGTCTGACATGGTTGACCCACCCTCCCTTCCTAGGACACTTACTTGGCTTGTCTGCGGGGACACTATGATCCCTGGTTTCCTCTCATCTCACCTGCTACTGCTTCTAGGCTCCTGGCTGGTTCCTGCTTTTCTCCCTGACCTCCTAGCCCTAGAGAACCCAGACCGCACACCTCGATCCTCTTCTCTTTACACCTCGACCCTCTTCTCTTTCTCACTAACATTGAGCAAAATACTTAAAAACCTCTGTGCCTCAGTGTCCACATCAGTAAAATGGGGATGAAAATAGAGCTTTACCTCAGAGTTATTAGGAAGATTAAGTGAGTACAAAACTGTAAAGGGCTTCATACAGTGTTGATACGTGGTAAACACAATATATTGGGTTTTTTTTTTTAAAGAGGTGACTGCATTTTTTTAAAGATTTTTATTGGGGAATTGGGGGGATGGGAACAGTGCTGGGGAATTGGGGGAAGGGGAACAGACAAGTTGCTGTCCTTTTTTGTTCTTCAGTCTAGTTGTGGAGGACGTTGCTTCACTGGCCCAAGTTGGCACCATCATTGCGCTCTTCCCAGATAAGGCACATCAGTCACCGGCCTCTGAATTGCCGCTCACTGCGGCTGCTGGCCGCTCACGCTGGCTGCTGGCTACACACGGTGGCCCATGGCAACCCACGGCCACAGGGGCTGCAGCCTACGCCGTCACCGGCGACTCACGGCAGCCCAGCTCCAGGTCGAGCTGTTGTTCAGCATCTTAGCTGTGGAGGGCAGTGTCACTGGCCCTCATATGTGGAATCCGAACCGGGGCCCTCTGGCATCCCAAGCCAGTTCTTAACCATCGCGCCACTCGGCCAACCCAATATATTGTTTACTAAAAGAGATCTCTAGAGAATTTCCCAGGTAATCCCATGTAGTCTTGTGGCTTTGATACCATCTGTGTATTGGTGACTCCCAACTTATATCCCTGGGCTGGTCCTCTCTTTGAATCCAAATGTTTGCATGCAGCTGTCCACTCAGCCTGAACTTTGGTACCTCAAACTTAAAAGACCAAGACTGAACCCTTGGTTTCCCTTCACAAACCTGCTTCTTTCCTGGTCTTTCCCATCCCAGTAACCATGACTGTGTTTGGGTCTTACAGTCATCCCTGATACCTCTCCTTCTTTCCTAACTGTCCTCCCATCCATCCCTAAATCCTGGCAGCTCTACCTTTAAATTAGGTCCAGCATTGGACCACTTCTCACCAGCATCACTACAGTAGACTCCTGCCTGGTGCCCCTGCTTTTACCCTTCTACCTCCTCTGGGCTATTATCTAAGCAGCATAGAAAGTGATCTGATTTTAGTTCATTTAAATCTAAGCCATGTCACTCATGTTCAAAGTCCTTTAGTAGTTTTTCATTTAAAACCAAAATCATCACCATGGCCTTCGAGACCCAGGATCTGACTCCTCACAACCCCTCACCATCTCTTCTCTTATAATCGGTTCCCCTCTATCACTGTGCTCCAGCCCCACTAGCTTCTTGACAAGCAGGTTCCTACCTCCCAACCTTTGCACATACTGTTCCCGCTGCCTGGAATGTCCTTTCTTCAGGAAGCATTCACCCTTGGACCCTCCCTTTCTTCTGTTACCTTAGCTGGCTTTACTTTTTTTATATAGAACATGTACAGATTTGACATGTATTTACTTGCTTAATTGTGCTGCCTCCCAGCATTAGAAGGAAAGCTCTACGAGAGTTTGGTCTGTGTTCAATACTGTTTTTTCACTACCTGGAATAGCAGCTGTCATGTAGCATCCACTCAACACGTATTTGTTGAATGGATGAATGCAAGTTGCCAGCCCTTTGGAGATTCTAAAAGTATTTGAGCATCAGAAGCCTCTTGCAGCAACAAGACATCACCCTTGTAAAGGAGTTAGGGGACCCCAGCCAGCACATAAAACAATAAAAAGTTGAAAATGTGTGATAGGCTTTAAGCTTCCTCCCTAGAAAAGAAGAGGGACCAGACCTTCTTTTCCCTGTGTTCTAGCCCTGCTTCCTCCATCAAGTCTGAGCTATGGGCTGTTGTAAAGTTTGCCAGCAGAGCACCAGCTGATAAAATCTACCCCATGCCCTCTGCTAATGTTTCACCAAAATGAAGCTAAGAAACCA